AACATGCTGAAGAAGACAATGGCCAACCAAAGCGCTGTGACCGAGTTCCTTCTCCTGGGCTTCTCTGAGGTGCGGGAACTGCAGATTTTGCATTTCATGGTGTTTCTGGTGCTTTATCTGGCTGCCCTACTGGGGAACCTTCTCATCATCTCAGCCATCGTCCTTGACCACCGACTTCACAGCCCCATGTACTTCTTCCTGATGAACTTGTCTATCCTTGACCTGGGCGCTGTCTCCATCACCCTCCCCAAATCCATGGCCAACTCCCTCCTGGACACCAGACAGATTTCATATTCCGGATGCCTTTCCCAAGTCTTTCTCCTCTTGTTCTTCGCTTCAACCGATTTTGCCTTGCTGACCATCATGGCCTACGACCGATACGTCGCCATCTGCCACCCGCTGCATTATGGAACCATGATGAACAGGCGAGCGTGTGTCCGAATGGTGGCCCTTGCCGGAAGTTGTGGGATTTTGTATTCTACTCTGAACACCGGGAACACCTTCGGATTAAGTTTCTGTGGAGGCCACAACGTAGATCAGTTCTTCTGTGAGATCCTCCAGCTCCTCAAACTGGCCTGTGCTGACTCCTACCTCAGGGAAAGTGGGATTATTGTCTTTAGCGTGTGCTTAGTCTTGATGTGCTTTGGTTTAATAGTGGTGTCGTACGTTCAGATCTTCAAAACGGTGCTGAGAATGCCCTCGGAGCAGGGCCGGCATAAGGCCTTCTCCACCTGCCTCCCCCACCTCATCGTCATCTCGTTGTTCCTTTTCCCTGGCATCTTTGCCTACCTGAAACCCATCTCCACCTCGGCATCAGCTCTGGATCTTGTGGCCTCGATTCTGTATTCCGTGGTGCCGCCCATGCTAAATCCGATCATCTACAGTGTAAGGAACAAGGAGATTAAAGCTGCCCTGTGGAGAATGGTCAAATGGAGGTTATTCACCAAGAATAAAATGTCTGCCCTTTTTCCATAACTGCGGGGTCATTCTGTGTTTCTTTACAAATATGCTCTCTGGTTGATACTCTTTTCTCCCAGAGAAAATGGCATGCAATCCATGTATGGCCACAGAGGTATTGACCATGGCAAAAATCTAGACCAGCATCCCTGCATTGATGATGTTAAAATAGGTTTGCACCAGTCAAAAAGGAAAAAAATAAGAACCGAGAAGTTGACGGATCTATCCATTGAGATCCATTGATCTATCTATCCATTGATCTGTGTAATGATTTCATATTGCCGCCCATCACCACACTGTGGCTACGTCTAGACTGGCAAGATTTTCCGGAAATGCTTTTAACGGAAAAGCACTTTTTGCAGAAAAGCGTCCGTGGCCAATCTAGATGCGCTTCTGCGCAAAAAAGCCCTGATCGCCATTTTCGCAATCGGGGCTTTTTTGCGCAAAACAAATCTCAGCTGTCTACACTGGCCCTTCTGCGCATAAGTTTTGCGCAAAAGGGACTTTTGCCCGAACGGGAGCAGCATAGTATTTCTGCAAGAAGCACTGATTTCTTACAGTAGGAAGTCAGTGCTTTTGCGGAAATTCAAGCACCCAGTGTAGACAGCTGGCATGTTTTTCCGGAAAAGTGGCTGATTTTCCGGAAAAACTGGCCAGTCTAGACACAGCCTATGGGTACATCTACACAGCAGCATTATTGTAGAATAGCTGATGTTATTCCAAAATAACGAAGAGTGCATCCACACTGCAAGCCTTTATTTCAAACTAATGTCCAACTGGAGGACTTTTTACTCCGACTCCTGTAACCCTCATTTCACGAGGAGTAAGGGAAGTCAGAGGACAAGCATTCTTCCTTCGACTTCCTGAGGTGTAAACAGCACCAAAAGCCAAGATAAGCTCTTTAGACTTTAGCTACGCAATTGTCCTAGCTGAAGTTGCGTAGCTTAATTTGACTTGAACCCTGTTACGGAAATACAGCAAAAATCATCATAAATAGAAAATTCCCATGTGTTCTTCCTGGAATCTTGTCTCATTATTTTTCAGGATAAAGCCACTGGTTGAGGTTCATGTACAGCTCTTGATTATTTTTCCCCCATATTTTGAGGGTTGTTTTTGTGTAGCAGATTTATTGGCACTTACTGAGTTGTTTCTTTCTTGCAAGTGATTCTGCAGAGATGATGAAAGTTTGTTTAGATGAGGCTGCAAATCTTTGTCCTCTATTGAGAATGCCTCCATGTTATTTCTTTTATGGGGTTTTCCCAGAGTCCCATAGGTTTGCTTTCCAGTCCACAATGAGAAAGGGGTGGAAAAGAGCTTTTGGTGTGGACGAGTTCTTATTGAAATTATGATGTCAGATTTCTTGTATATTAATATGGTAGGGTGCTAAAATCTATGAAAACCTATCTTCTTCTTCTTCTTCTTCATCATCATCGTCTTCTTCTTCTTCTTCATTGTCATTGTGATGTTCTTCTTCATCATCGTCTTCTTCTTCTTCTACATTGTCCTTGTCTTCTTCTTCTTCTTCATCATCGTCGTCTTCTTCTTCTACATTGTCCTTGTGATGTTCTTCGTCGTCGTCGTCGTCGTCGTCGTCGTCGTCGTCTTCTTCTTCTTCTTTTTCTTTTTCTTTTTCTTTTTCTTCTTCTTCGCTAACAAATTAAAATCTTTGTAATTCCTGCTATGTTGGAAGAGACCGTTTTGATGAGGAAGGCTTATTTCCCAAAGAATATCTGTCTTGAAATAATAAGGCCACATTTTGGGACCTAATAAAGTCACAAGGTTTAGCTACTACCTTCAAAGGGCTCAGGTTTTGGCCAATTGTCAATACACACAACAATCCAAGTTCATAGAATCATAGACTCCTAGGGAGGGAAGAGACCTCAGGAGTCATCGAGTCCAATCTCCTGGCCAAAGCAGGACCAACCCCAACTCAATAATCCCAGCCAGGGCTTGGTCAAGCTATGTACTTCAAGAGTACGTCTAGACTACAGGGTTTTGTTGACAGACGTTTTGTCGACAGATACTGTCGACAAAGCTTCTGTCGACAAAGAGAGTCTAGACTACATCCAGTTCTGTCGACAAAACAAGCCGCTTTGTCGACATAACAGTGTGGACACAAAGGACAGTGTAGATGCAATACCTTCTATTGACAGAACTCTGTCAACAAAAGGCGTTATTCCTCGTAGAATGAGGTTTACATATGTCGACAAAACTGCTGAGTTTTGTTGACGTTATGTCGACATAACTCTAAGGCAGTGTGGACGCAGGTATAGTTTTGTCGACAAAAGTCCACTTTTGTCGACAAAACCCTGTAGTCTAGACACACCCCAATACCTCTAGGGATGGATATTCCACCTCCTCTCTAGGGAACCAATTGCAGTGCTTCACCACCCTCCTAGGGAAGTAGTTTTCCTGACCTCCAACCTAGATCTCCCACACTTCAACTTTTGACCATTACTCCTCCTTCTGTCAGCTGTCAAGTTTTACTATAAGTAGTCTGGAGAACTTGGGTGCCACAGAGATGTATTGATGAGATTCCTAGCTCAGCTGGACCAGGGCCATTTCAGAGATATTCCATTAACGTCACTGGTTTAGTACTGAGGAAGCTCTCTGGGATCAGTTCCACAATGACATTTATCTGGGTGTGAGCCATGTTGGGAGCCATGTTGCTGTAACATTGGTGTATGCAGTGACTCACCACGAATGCATGGATTGGGCATTCCACTGAGTGACAGATGTGTGGGACTGGAAGAGACCTTCACAAGTCATCTAATCCAGTCCCCTGTGTTCAAGGCAGGACTACATAATAGCTAACATAAGAACATAAGAATGACCATAATGGGTCAGACCAAAGAAACGTCTAGCCCAGCATCCTGTCTGCCGACAGTGGCCAATGCGAGGTGCCCCAGATGGAGGGAACACAATAGGGAATCAAATTATCTCTCTCCTGTCACTGATTTCCAGCCTCTGACAAACAGAGGCTAGGGACCCCATTCCTTATCCTGGTCCTCACAAGATCCTCTGGCAAGGAGTTCCACAGGTTGACTGTGTGATGCATGCAGAAAAACTTCATTTTCTTTGTTTTAAACCTGTGACCTATTCATTTCACATGGTGACCCTTAAGTTCTTATGTGATGGGAACCAGTAAATAATTTTTCCTTATTCACTTTCTCCATACATGCCATGATTTTATAGACCTCTATCTTATCCCTCCTTATTCTCCTCTCTTCTAACCTGAAATATGCTGTATATGCAATTGTGACTTTTGGTCTCCACCCTCACATTACACTATCGCTGCACATGTAAATTTGGTGCACTGGAATTGAATTTAGAAGAACCTGACTAAGTTCCTAACAATTTTTATGCACTAAAATCTCATGGACCTTGCCTCATTGTTTTGACACCGGCCTATATAATGACTTTGGTAAATAGCCCAAATAATTGGCCAAAACCATCACGATGTAGTCGTCCTACTTATTTTCAGTACAAGTAGTTTTGTCGCTCATCTAACAATCAACTTCTACCCTTTTCACTCAAGCCCATAAATTCATTGCTCATGGATTCATCATCCCATCTTCTCACCTCAACTAATCAATCCAGTCTTTCCACCTCTTCACCAGCTCAAGGGAAACTTGGGAGTATGAGTTGGCCTCAAAGCACATCCTGAAGGTCTGCAGAGTTGGACAGTAGCAAGAGCAGGCAAGCCCAGAGAACCACCATCTATATTTGCAAGTGTTTTGCCAAAAGCATCCCTGTTCACTGATTCTGCATCAGCAAAATCTTGGAACTACCGTTTCGACTATCTCTGCCAGAACCTTGTAGGTGAATCATTGGCTCCTTTGTGGTCACACTCCATAGACATTCCACCCATGTAGACACAAATATTCATGGCCAAGGTCAACTTGAAACAATTGGGACAGGATGTTTCAAAGGGGTCTAAGGCATTTGGGTACCAAACTTTCACTGAACCTCAGTAGAAGTTGGATGTCTCGTTACCATGGGCTTTGTGGAATGTCACATCAACACCTCCCTCCAAATTGAAAAAGAAATAAACGAAATGATTACATATGAGTTCAGCATAAGCCTTCAATTGGACTGCCTTCACGCTGAAAATAAAGCACTGGCTTTTGTGTTTTTCCACAGCAGTGCTGTAGTTAAACATCGGCCAAAAAATGTGCCTCGTAAATTCATACTTACTGAAAGTTTGACAGAAAGCTCTGGCGATTGAGGTTGGGAAAGAGGCTGGCCTTTTAATGTTTTTTTAAAAATTCTTCTAATAGTCAACCGAAAACAATAATAAAGCAACACAAACACATTTCCGAGGGGTCGCTGTGGTAAAAACAATGAGGAGTTCTGTGGCCAGATTTGGCAGGGTACGAGCTTTAGGCAACGGTAGCTCACTTTGCCAGATGCAAGAACTGAAGGACTCAGCAGGCAGGGACACATACATCCACACCATGAGGGGCTGTAACACTCCCGTCTCGGTCTCTATGTCTGTAGCCCTGCCATTGGATTCCTTCACGCCCTGCAAGTAACAGCAAGAGAAAGGAAGCATGTTCAGAAAACCCAGCTACAAGGGCTCATGCACAATGACTATCCTAAAGGCCTTGTAAAAGAGCTAGGGGGAGAGAAACATTCAAAGACAAAACAGCAAATAATAAAAACTTCCAGGAATATCATGACTTGGTCATCCACGGGCATGGAATGCCAAAAAGATGCATAATCCATTGTCACCCATTTTTCAAAATACATCAATATCTATCTATCCCCACACACCTATCTATCTATCTATCTATCTATCTATCTATCTATCTATCTATCTATCTATCTATCTATCTATCGTAAGATGAAGTAAAACACAATCAGCAAATTTGTGATAGATAGATAGATAGATAGATAGATAGATAGATAGATAGATAGATAGATAGATAGATAGATAGATAGATCTATCTATCTATCTATCTATCTATCTATCTATCTATCTATCTATCTATCTATCTATCTATCTATCTATCTATCTATCTATCACAAATTTGCTGATTGTGTTTTACTTCATCTTACGATAGATAGATAGATAGATAGATAGATGTAATTTGTGGATTGCTAAACTGATTCTGATCTGATTCACATACTTTACCAATTTATTTGACTTGGCCCACGTTTTTGACTTCATAGCTGGACTTCCTCTTACGTTTTCAATGAGACAATTTTGTCATCAGGTTGACAATAGCAATCTAGATCATCAGAATGAAATCACAGTCAATGAAATGAAGGACTCATTCTTTCCTGGATAATCACCTCCACCCAGTGCATCTCTTCAGCGCAGCTTTGATCTCCTTATTCCTCATGCTGTAGATGACCGGGTTCATCACAGGAGGCACCACAGCGTAGAGGACTCCCGTCAGCAGATCCACCTTTGAGGCCGAGCTGGAGGTGGGAATCAGGTACTCAAAGACAGCCGTGCACATCAACAAAGAGATCACGGCGAGGTGAGGGAGGCAGGTGGAGAAGGCCTTGTGCCGGCCCTGTTCCGAGGGGATTCTCAGCACAGCTTTCAAGATGTGCCCATACGACACGATGATAAAAACAAAGAAGACAAAAGATAAAAACACACTAGCAGTGAGAAGCCCAACTTCACTGCGGTAGGAGTCGGAGCAGGCCAGCTTGAGGAGCGGGGGAATTTCACAGAAAAACTGGTGGATGACATTGGACCGACAGAAGGGTAACCGGAAGGTGTTCCCGGTGTGCAGGGCAGAGTAGACAATACCAGCCATCCAGACACCGGTGGCCATTTTGACACAAGCCCCCTTGTTCATCACTCGCTCATAGTGAAGTGGTTGGCAGATGGCGACATACCGATCGTAGGCCATCACGGTGAGCAAGGTGATATTGGTTTCAGCAAAGAAGACGAAGAGAAAGATTTGGGCAGCACATCCACGATATGAAATCAACCTGGTGTTCAGGAGGGAGTTGGCCATGGATTTGGGGAGGGTGACGGAGATGGAGCCAAGGTCTAGGATGGCCAGGTTCACCAAGAAGAAGTACATGGGGGTGTGAACAAGATGATCGAGGACGATAGCTGAGATGATGAGAAGGTTCCCCATTAGGGCAGCCAAGTAAACCACCAGGAACACCACAAAGTGCAAAATCTGCAGCTCCCGGACATCAGAGAAGCCCAGGAGAAGGAACTCGGTCACGGTGCTTCGGTTGGGCATTTCCTTCATCGGCGGGTGATGTGAAAGCTGCGGAGGGAAGGAATAAGACAATGGAAGGGATTCGAGTCACCGAGGAAAGGGCTCTTCTTGACTCCTCTTGTGATTAGACATCTCAGAAGTATCTATGGCATCTTTAAACAGTTTCCATGCAGCTTGCAGAGATTTTACTTTAGTCACTGTACCTTTTAATTTCTGTTTAACTTATCTCTTCCTTTTCCTGTAGTTTCCCTTTCTGAAATTAAAGTGCTGGGCTGCTGCAGTGTTTTTCCCACCACAGGGATGCTAAATTTGATTACATTATGGACACTATTTCCAAGCAGAACAGTTATATTCACCTCTTGAACCACATCCTGTGCTCCACTTAGGACTAAATCAAGAATAACCTCTCCCATTGTGGGTTCCAGAACTGGCTGCTCCAAGAAGCAGTCATTTAAGATGTCAAGAAATATTATTTCTCCATCCCGTCCTGAGATGATGTGTACTCAGTCAATATGGGGATAGTTGAAATCCCCCACTATATTGAGGGTTTATTATTATTATTATTATTATTATTTATTTTATAGCCTTGCTAATCTCCCTTAGCATTTCATAGTCACAATCACTAACCAGGCTTCATTATCGTTTGCAATCTGGGCAACTCGGATATATTCAGTTTAAATTATTGCCAAGGAAACGTGCGCTTGCAATTAAAGAAATGTTCAAGAAAATTATCGGGGCATTGTTACGAAATAACATATATCTAGGACACGTTTTAAAAAAGTGATTTTCTTTCGGTTATTACATCAACAGTTGGTGTTCAGTGAAGAGGATTTTTGTGTTCATGGTTTATTCGCAAATTGATTTTTTTCCCTGCTGGGGAAAAGTGGCCTTTTGTCGACAAAACTATACCTGCATCTACCCTACCACCACGTTCTGTCGACAGTAAGTCGACAGAGCACGGCAGTTTTGTCGACGTCAGTAAAACCTTGTTTTACGAGGAAGGACGCCTTTCTTCCAAAGTACTCCTTTGAAAAAAGGCGCTATTGCATGTAAACTGTGCTTTTTCGAAACAGCGTCTTGCTTATTCGACTTTAGACAGAGGCTTTTTCGACAGTATCTGTCAACAAAGCCTCTGTCGAAAAAGGCGTGAAGTCTAGCTGTAGTAAGAGCCAACAGTTTAAGGAGTTTCCATTGACATTTAGAGCTTTCTCGATATCTGCATTATTCTAAGATGCAAACATGAAAAAACGTACTTTGTTGGTCTTTGGAATTTTTCCCCCCACTGCATAAGGAATTAGATAGTCCCCTGCATGAATTTTTCATTCACTGCCACTTCCTATAGCTGCCCATAATGGTCTCGTTCCGGTAGGATGGAGGAAAAGTTTCCCTGCTCCTGAACCATCATTCCTAACTTGCCGGGTCTCACTGCAATTCCTTGCAGATGAGGATCTACGTCCTCCGCTCCTCGGGAAGACAAAGGGCAAATCATGGACAGAGAAAAGCAGAATTCAGAATAGCTCCCAGCCCAGGAGGTCCCGGCCTGGCGTGGAGGAGCCAAATCCAGTATCCGGGGTTCAGCTCGGATCTCCCCACCAGAGCGAAGCACCCTACAGCCGGCCCGAGCGGATGCCCGCCCCACAAAGGGGGACCCCGACCTACCCTGGATCTCGCTGGAAGACAGCATCTCTGGCAGGCTCTGGGGCTAGACACAAGTCCGGGCCGAGTCCCTGATGGTGTCCCATGGAAACAGCAGAACAGTGTATATCGGTGACGCAGACATGGGACCTATCACAGCTCAGAGCCGGTGGCACCAGAGCCCCAGCTGGCCGGGGACAGCCTGGTCCCTCATGAACCCCACACAACCCACTCTGGTGGAGCCAAAATGTTTGGTCTCCTGCCTTGTACCAGCAGCTCTTGGGATGCGGCCTTCAGAGGATCCCACAGCTCCAGCTGGCCCGGGGTGCGACGTGGGTCCTGCAGACACAGCAGGAGGCAACGGGGGGGGGGGGGGGGGGAATGGACACACTTCCATTGGGCAGCACATTCAGGGCTAGTTCTGCCCTGTGCGGAGGTGGCTCTGTGATTTCAGTGAAGCCGGCTGATTTCCATCGGCTGGGGGGGGGGGCCGTCGCTGGGACGCCAAAGAGCTAAGTCCATTGTCAGCATTTGGCCTTGTTAACAAGCAACTGACGATTTCCCAGCTCACGATTTGGGCCATTGAACCGGGCGAAACCCATGGACTTTGCCGGGGATCTCCACTAAGGAGAAGACAAAAGTTCCAAACTGTGTCTGTGTTTTCTTACGTCTTAGACCCAGGGGCCTAATTGCGAGTCATTCCCTCTGGGAGCAGAACTTCAGAGGAACTCAAGGTTCCTAAGATGTTTGTAAGTTCTTTTCAATTGGAATTGAGATAAATGAAATCTATCTATCTATCTATCTATCTATCTATCTATCCATCCCCCCACACCCCCTCTATCTATCTATCTATCTATCTATCTATCTATCTATCTATCCCCCCACACCTCCTCTATCTATCTATCTATCTATCTATCTATCTATCTATCTATCTATCTATCTATCTATCTATCTATCTCTTTTAAAACTGCTCCTGAATTGCTTGAAATAAAACTTGTTAAAGGTATATTTGAGATACTGTGGGTCTTTGTGCTATGACCCTAATTAAATGCCTAGTGTGCGTGATCACCCATACAACAGCACCCTCTTGCAACCCCCATGACCCTTTTCCCTGAGCTCCCCACATCCCCAAGACCCTGCCCTTACTCCTGAACCCCTTGCCCACTGCCCTGAGGGACCCAAGCGATACTAGGTAAATCTTCTAGTCAAAGACGCGTATAGAGTGAGCCCTGAATATTTTGTAGAATAGTGATAGAGATGCAGCCGTGTTAGCTTTGTAGTCTGTGTTGCAATTGAAATCTATATATTTGAAAATGTAGAAAACAGCAAGAAAGACACAGATAATTGGTATGAGATGACGGATTAATCGGGCAATTAATCACTAATGAATTGCCTTCAGTCACGTGAAGACGATTGTCTTCAATCGCATGATTCATCACATTTAATTTTAACTACTTTACAGCCCTCCCCCACAGCAGAAAGGAAAGCAACTTGAAGGTGCTAGTTTCACCCTTGTTGAAAATAATTTTCAAATCTATTAGAAGCTGTCAAGCAAGCAAGCAAGAAAAGCAGAAGTGCTGACAGCAATATCCTTAGATGTCCGGACAAGACTGGACCACAAACTTGATATCTGTACAAGCTGAACCCCAGCAATCTGTCTCTGAAGGGTCTTGTGCAGCTGAGGGGTACTGTGCAGCTGATAGGCCGGCAGAAAGGAAGTGCCTAATATAGCCACATGCAGGCATCGGAGATAGGCAAAGATCCCAGATTCTAAAAGCAGAGAAACAAGCACAACATGGAATTGAGTCTCCTTCTACCGGTGCTGGGTGAGAGACTTTCTTTCCAATAGTTTTCCTTTTCTTTTGTTCCTCTGTTCTTGCTTTCCCAGAGTTTTCACTCCCTCTCTTCCCTTTTTCAGCCGCTCTCGAGATGTTCCCCAGCCTGGTGTCTCCTTCAGGTAAAGGGAGCGAGGGATAGCCAAAGTTGCTGTATCTGCCGTGAAGCATGGCTGACAGGATGGGTGGGGTGTGTGTCTGTATCTTGTCCCCCCCATGTCTTCTCCCTCTTACCCCCTGGATATCTCCCCCTCTGCCGTAATTTCTGTGTTTCCGTTCCAGACCCTCCATCAGCCCCCAAACTCTTTCTGCACCCCCGACACCAAGAGTTCATCGAGGGCGACCGTCTCACCCTCCGGTGCTCAGCTCAGGGGGTCGAGGGGGTGACAAGGTACCAGTTCTTTGACGGAAGTGGGAAGCAGCTCTCCGAGACGCCCCCACAGAGTTCTGTTGACAGAAGGCGTTATTGCATCTAAACTGTCCTTTGCGTCTACACTGCCATGTCGACAAAGCAGCTTGCTTTGTCGACAGAACTGAATGTCGTTTAGACGCTCTTTGTCGACAGAAGCTTTGTCGACAGTATCTGTCGACAAAACTTCTGTCGACAAAAGCCTGTAGTCTAGCCGTACCCTTGTAGAGAAAACTAAACCTGCATCTACACGACCATTGCGTTCTGTCGACAGTAAGTCGACGGAATGTGGCAGTTTTGTCGACAGCCTCTCTTACAACACTGCTGCTAATGTATCCCAGAATGATGCTTGCTTTTTCTTTTTTCAACTGTATCATAGGCCGTGTCCAGACTCAGGAAAAAAGTAGCCTTTTTTCGAAAAAACCTCACCTGCGTCTAGACTGAAATTAAATCGAAAGAACGCGGCTTTTCTTTCGATGGCGGTAAACCTCGTTTCACGAGGAAGAACGCCTTCTTTCGAAAGTTCCTCTTTCGAAAGAAGGCGTTCTACAATGTAAAGAGGCCGTCTTCGAAAGAGAGCATCCAGACTCGCTGGGTGCTCTCTTTCGAAAAAGCGGATTTCCTCTTTCGAAAGATCCGCCTGCAGTCTAGACGCGATCTTTCGAAAGAGGCTCTTTCGAAAGATGCTTTCGAAAGAGCCTCTTTCGAAAGAAGCCTGCAGTCTAGACATAGCCATACTGTTGACTCATATTGTGGTCCCGTATGGCCCTCAGATCCCTGTCTACAGGGCTCCTTCCTAGACAGGATCTAAAACCACAGCAATGAGCATAGATCACAGAAGTTGGGTTGAGTGGTACCAATAGTGATTTCTTCTCCCTTTGGTACAGGCAGTTTTCCCACTGGCGCTGTGACCCGCGATAAGTTGAGGATGTCTAGCCGGTTTTCCTCAACATACAGTTGATTTATCACAGCAGGCATCAAATGTAACATACGAGACAATATTAGACAGCACCTCAGATCCATCATAGCAATTGCTGGGTAGGATAAAAATTGGATCTTTTAATACAGGCTCATTTTCTAATTTAGGAAACATTGACAGAGCTTTCTCTTCCAAAAACATTGTGTCCCAGTGAGAACAACACAGGATTTACATATTAAATTACAAAATAATTCACATAATTATATAAAGATCTATGTTTTCTAATATAGCATAATCAGCACAATAGTATCCCATAAGCATTTAAATAATATTTTGATCAAGAACTCAGCTATTTGTTTTGTTGTTTAAAAACAGCAAAAGGAAGTTTTTCTTCACTCAGGCTATGTCTAGACTGCAAGCCTCTTTCGAAAGATACTTTCGAAAGAGCCTCTTTCGAAAGAGAGCGTCTAGACTGCACGTTGAACTTTCGAAAAAGCGGCTTGCTATTTCGAAAGAAAGCATCCAGTGAGTCTGGATGCTCTCTTTTGAAGAAGCCCTATTTACATTGAAGAACGCCTTCTTTCGAAAGAGGAACTTTCGAAAGAAGGCGTTCTTCCTCGTGAAATGAGGTTTACCGCCATCGAAAGAAAAGCCACGTTCTTTCGATTTAATTTCAGTCTAGACGCAGGTGAGGTTTTTTCGAAAAAAGGCTACTTTTTTCGAAAAAACCCCTGAGTCTGGACACAGCCTCAGTGCAGTCAACCTGTGGAACTCCTTGCCAGAGGATGTGGTGAAGGCTAGAACTTTAACAGGGTTTAAAAAAAGTTCTACATAGATGGAGGTTCAGTCCATCAATGACTATTAGACAGGATGGGTAGGAATGGTGTCCCCAGCCTCTGTTTCTCTAGAGGTAGGTGATGGGGAGGGATCATATGAGGATTACGTGTTGTGTTCCCTCCCTCTGGGTTATCTGGTATTGGCCACTGTTGGCAAACAGGACACTGGGCTAGATGGACCTTTGATCTGACCCCGTTTGGCCGTTCTTATGTTCTTATCCAAATATTAGGGAAAAAAGAACTTTCAATTGTTCATCAGTGGGGAAAGCAAAATGTCGTGTTTCTCAAACAGATTAGGACGTTGATACCTTCCGCAGAAGGCAAAATGACTGATACCACATTTAATCCAATATATGTCCCCCCCACACTCCTATCTCCCCCAAATCAAGTACCCAATAAGCAAAATAGAAACAATCAAGGAAACATACATTAAAAACCTTTCATACCCCAAGCATGATATAGACCCCAAAACAGGGGACAAACCAGACACTTCAGAAAGCCCTTTTTCAATTTAGCTATGGATATGTCTAGACTGCGTTACTCTTTCAGGATACTGGAAGTATCCCAAAATGGCAATGCCGCATCTTTAAAATCTCCCGCTATTTCCTGAAATAGTGGGACTCCTATTCTGGCATCCTGCGACCTTTGTTCCATGACGGTTAAGGGAGTTGTTGAAATAGGGCCTAATTTTGAAATCTGGTGTTATCTACACATGCCAAATTTCAAAATAAGCTTTTTCAACATAGACTCAGAATAAGCTACACAATTTGCTGTCTAGCTGCAACCAATGTCTATAGATTTTCTGTTTCACATGCTCAGGTAGTGTGTGGGTGGGTAGGTGGATGTATGGATGGGCAGACGGATGGATGGATGGATAGATGCATTGAAGGATGGAGAGAAGGATGGATGGTGGCGTGGATGGATGGGCAGATGGATGCATGGATGGATGGACAGACAGATGGATGGAAGCATGGAAGGATGGATGGATGGATGGATGGATGGATGGATGGATGGATGGATGGATGGATGGATGGATGGATGGATGGATGGATGGATGGATGGATGGATGGATGGATGGATGGATGGATGGATGGATGGATGGATGGATGGATGGATGGATGGATGGATGGATGGATGGATGGATGGATGGATGGATGGATGGATGGATGGATGGATGGATGGATGGATGGATGGATGGATGGATGGATGGATGGATGGATGGATGGATGGATGGATGGATGGATGGATGGATGGATGGATGGATGGATGGATGGATGGATGGATGGATGGATGGATGGATGGATGGATGGATGGATGGATGGATGGATGGATGGATGGATGGATGGATGGATGGATGGATGGATGGATGGATGGATGGATGGATGGATGGATGGATGGATGGATGGATGGATGGATGGATGGATGGATGGATGGATGGATGGATGGATGGATGGATGGATGGATGGATGGATGGATGGATGGATGGATGGATGGATGGATGGATGGATGGATGGATGGATGGATGGATGGATGGATGGATGGATGGATGGATGGATGGATGGATGGATGGATGGATGGATGGATGGATGGATGGATGGATGGATGGATGGATGGATGGATGGATGGATGGATGGATGGATGGATGGATGGATGGATGGATGGATGGATGGATGGATGGATGGATGGATGGATGGATGGATGGATGGATGGATGGATGGATGGATGGATGAATGGGCGGATGGATGGATGGATGTATACATAGATGCATGGAAGGATGGATGTATGGATGGGCAGATGGATGCATGGGTGGATGGACTGATTGACAGATTAATTGATAGATAGGTGTATATATAATTTTAGTTTGCTTCTGATCTTATTCACACTGATGTAATTCTTCACTTATTCGACTTCAGTGGAGCAAGCCCAATTTTATGACTTCATAACGAGATTACACCTTACCAAGGAGAAAGATTCGTCATCAGTTCACTATATCCATAAACAAGCTCAGAAAGAAATCGCATTGACGTTGTCACGATGCACGCTTGAATTCTTTGTGAATCACCTCCGGCCTAGCAGTTTCTTCAGTCCTGCTTTGATCTCCTTGTTCCTCATGCTGTAGATGACCGGGTTCATCAGGGGAGGCACCACGGCGTAGAGGACACCCACCACCAGATCCAGATTTGACGCTGAGCTCGTGTTGGGTTTCAGGTAGCCAATTATGGCAGGGCAAAGCAACAAGAAGATGACAGCGAGGTGAGGGAGGCAGGTGGAGAAGGCCTTGTGCCGGCCCTGCTCCGAGGGGATTCTGAGCACCGTGTTGAAGATCTGAACGTACGTTATGATGATAAAAAGAAAGCAGGTGGTGGATAAAACGGCACTCGCAGCAATCACCCCAATTTCACTGCGGTAGGAGTCGGAGCAAGCCAGCTTGAGGAGCTGGGGGATTTCACAGAAGAACTGGTCAATGTTGTTGGACTGGCAGAGGGGTAACCGGAAGGTATTCCCGGTGTGCAGGGAAGAGTAGATAATTCCAGCCATCCAGGCGCTGGTGGCCATCTTGACACAAGCTCTCCTGGTCATCACTTGCTCATAGTGCAACGGTTGGCAGATGGCGATGTACCGGTCATAGGCCATCACGGTGAGAACGGACAGATCAGTTCCAAAGAAGAATACAAAGAGAAAGACTTGGGTGACACACGCAGGATAGGAGATCACCGTGGTGTCCATGATGGAGTTGGCCATGGATTTGGGGATGATGACAGAGATGGCGCCGAGGTCCAGGATGGACAAGTTCAACAGGAAGAAGTACATGGGGCTGTGAAGACGATGATCGAGGACGATGGCTGAGATGATGAGAAGGTTCCCCATCAGGGCAGCCACGTAAATCACCAGGAACATCACAAAGTGCAGAATCTGCAATTCCCGGACATCAGAGAAACCCAAGAGAAGGAAGTCGGTCACGGTGCTATGGTTGAGCATTCTCCAGCAAACTGTGGGAGATCTGGAGATGGAAGGAGAAGAGCAATCGTTAGCATAACGGTGAGAAAGAGAACGGCCCCGTGTCTTGCTCACGATCAGTGTTCTCTCTAAGCCGTGTGTTTGGGCGGTCACCCAGGAGAGATTCAAAGGTCACCCAGGTGACTGGCAGGGCACCCACAGCCAGCCATACCTGCTGCATATGTTTCTCCTGGTGGTGCATCTCCGCACATGCCTCGGTGCACATAATGATGAGGGCTTTGGAACGGGTCCCATATGAAATGAGATTAAGAAGATGGGGACTTTTCAGTTTAGGAAAGAGGAGACTAAGAGGAGATAGGACAGCGTTATTTTAGAATAATGGACATTATTCTGAAATCACAATGGCTGTGTCTAGACTGGCAAGTTTTTCCGCAAAATCATCTGATTTTGCAGAAAAACTTGCCAGCTGTCTACACTGGCCGCTTGAATTTCCACAAGAACACTGACGATTACATGTAAGATCGTCAGTGTTCTTGTGGAAATACTGTGCTGCTCCCGTTCAGGCAAAAGCCCTCTTGCACAAATCATTTGCGCAAGAGGGCCAGTGTAGACAGCAGAGTAGTTTTCCGCAAAAAAGCCCCCATTGCGAAAATGGCGATCGGGGCTTTTTTGCGGAAAACTGTGTCTAGATGGGCCACGGACG